ACAAAGTGAAATCCTTACTTCGAACTATATTGGCCACTTTATTTCTTCTGTTGAATGTATATATATATATATATATATATATATATATATATATATATATATATATATATATATATATATATATATATATATATACATATAATATGGAATTGAAGTTAGATCTATTATGGTTCATAACCGAATAAAGTCACGTACTGTATGCCATAATACTTCACGTCACGTCCTCAAAATACAACTGTATTGTTACTCTCAACTTTAGAACTGTTACCATTAAACTTAAGTGTTCAGCGTTTCTCTTTGCTATTTCTCGTTTCTGTACAATAAGATTAAAAAGTTTCCAGTCAATATTTATCTTGGTTAGAAATAATAACATTTCTTAATAACAATAAAAAATGTATTTTACGTGTCTGCTATTACCATCAATAACAACGTCATTGAAAAATAAATATGTGGTAATTTATAATAATTTACTCTTCTTGGTAGCAGTGAAAAAAAAAACTTTCTTACCTCTTTACCATTTAGATGTTAAGAGAGGAATTGACTGAAAATCAGCGCTGTGCAGTAGTACATATTGCACTGGGACACTCACAGCATCCGCTGAGCCAGTTTTTTTGCCTAATATAATACACCTCTTATATATAATATTACTGTATTTTCTATTGTAAGTATGAGTTTTTCTGGCAATAAATATTTTCTATTCTATTCTATTATACATCATTAATAAAACTATTATAATTTTTTAATTTACTCTCAAATCTTCGGGATTACTCAAATAGTTTTGGACTCGTTAAGAAAATGTAGTATACGCTTCCATAAATATTTGTATCGCTGTAATACGCTATGAGAAAACTATCGTATTTCTTACCAAAACTAAAATTGTTTGTTAGAAAGTAAATTTTACTTGGAGATATGTGATTTCTCGGTCTAAATCCAAATACTTTTAGACTATTCACGTTATATTTTTGCAAAGCAATAAACTAAGTTCTAATCATTTTTAGGTATGTATCCACGGTAATAAATAAAATAAGTTACTTTTTTCATATGCTAAATTAAATTGTTGGTTGATGTTGCCAATAAGCTACTTTTTTTCCGGCCAATCGATATATCTCGATTACGCAGACGAAGTCACGTGTACAAACTAGTAGTATATAAATCATCTTTATTTAAATGAATCTGTATACATCTTTTAAATTTACTTTTTATGATTGTAACGTTGGGTTCGAAATGTTATTAACATGTTAAAAGTCACCCTGCAAATTATGCCAACATGAGTTAGCATTCTGACGTACGTATGTTTTTTGTACCTACTGTTTAATTAATATTTCGTTTAAACATCAATATTGACATTTTGTTAATTAAATATTTCAGAACGTTTATCAACCCTTTGTGTACAAACGTCCTTCAAATGTAATAACATTTTTCAGAACAATATGTAAACATTCTAATACGAAAATTAATTTGTTTAGAACAGAGATTCCCAAAGTGGTCAATATCGACCTCTTGGGGTCGAAATCGGTTTCCCAGGGGCCAACATAAAGGAAAACAGATTTTGAAATTCGACAAGGTCTAAAAAATCTAGTTTTATTTAATTATCGATGTTTTTTTTAATAAAGTTAGAGTTTCGCCTGTAAGCTTTGTAGAATATTATTGTACAAATCATACAGTCGATATCGAGCCCTAAGTCTAAGGCAAGACATGGCCTCCCTTTTTGTGTTCTATCGTTTGTATAATGGATTGTGTTCTGAGAAATTGTTTGAAATGATGCTTATACCACCTTTTATTATCGTACCGCTCTCATTGACAGGGAATTCATCCTCACATGCTCGAACCTAAATGGTCACAATGCCGTTTCAAAGGAATTTTCTTCTGCGAACACTCAGGCTGTGAAATGATCTCCTTATTGGTTTTCTCTAGAGATTACAATATGGGGTTCTTTAAAAAGGGCACATTAAGGTTTCAAGGCCGGAAATGTGCACGTGACACCCCTAGTGTTGCAAGTATTCATAGACTACAGTAATCGTTTACCATCAAACAGGTTGTATGCTTGTTTACCACCTTTGTTTTATAAAAAAAAAAACCTATTGATTTATTTTTACTTAAGTATTTTTTATGTTTTTTTTTATACAACTTAGAATGGCAAACAAGCTGACGGCCCACCTGATAGAAAGTGGTAACCGTCGCCTATAGATATGAGCAGTACCATAGTGTTATTCCTCTGTAGCCTGTAAATTCACGCCAAATCCCACTCTTCAAACCGAAATACAGCCATGCAAACTCAACTGCTTTACGGTTGAAACACGAATGGTATGGAGGTACCCAAGCAAACGACTTTTGTACAAAGTCTCCCTCTGGTTACGTAACTTATACTAATAATTAGGAATTACATACACTTGATATTTACTAAATGTTATGTTTATGCATTTTATTAAATTTTGATGAGAAAATGTTGTCAAGTTTGTTCACTTAACCAACTGCAAAGTTTTTTTTTTGGAAAAAGGGGTCCCTTATCTAAAATAGTTTGAGAATATATGGTTAGAACATGCTAGAACCACAGCGTATAAAACCTCGCTTTACATGGCTCATAACAGGATTAATTTTGTATAACCCGGCCGAGTTTTGTAGGTCACTCGCACCGAGAGTGCATTATTAAAGAATTAATTTATTTTTCATCAGCAGGTTATCCTTACTAATGTGTTTGTGAGAATGAGTTTGTTTCTTACTTGTTGGTAACTTAACAACTCATCCAATCGTAATGAAATGTACTATTTGGTATGGAGAAAGCCGTATTATACTAGATTCTGTAACGCGATCTCACGTACAAATCACATAAAAAAGTAGTTCTAAATATATGGTTTTACAATAAAATTTATATGTAAAGTGGATTTTTTCAACTCCTCTGAAGAGGCTTATTTAGATTATTAGAATCTTAGAAGCTTTGTACCAATTACAGTGGACTGTACTACAACGTAATTCATTAAAAAAAAGTTCTTCATTCGACTACGAGTATTCTTCTGTTACCCTATTGTTTCATTACTATATTGTTATATTACGCAATATAGTCACACATTCTGTACCAATATTGACTTTTTTTAATAATAAATAGTTTATTAACTCGTCTATTATTATTGTTTAAAATACTTGTGCTTGGTCCTACCGTTTTTTATAAAAATATTTTTATTATTCACTAGCTTTTACCCGCGACTTCGCTCGCGTGACCGGAATATGTTTACTTTTTCTTCTTCTTTCAAGTCAATAGACAAACCTATATATATTTCGACTAGAACTTAGCAACTTTCACAACATAGTTGGTTGCCTTATTCAGGTCCTCCTTCGTGCAAGATGAAGGGCGTAAAGAACAGGACAAGAAGTATAAGAATATGGTGACCTGCAGAAGCCACGATGATCTACACTGTATACTCCCTGATCATTCTTACCTGTGTTAGGAACGATGGGAAACTTTCAGTGTTAAATTATAACAAAGATCATCACGGGCTCTTTGGCTATAATAAATGTATGATTATGATCCAAATTTCATATGATTTTTATTTAAATGATCTGTAAAATACAAGTACTTCCTTTTATATTCTGTCACGCCGCAGCGCACCTCTTTTGTATAATGGTTCATATAAAATGTATGATAACGATTTTTCGTAATGCTCTGCTTCGCGGTGAAGGCAGTATGGCACACCATATTACGAGTCGCACTTAGGTACATAATATTTTTTAAATGATAAAAATGAGAAAAACGCTGAAAGTTTATTAAAAAAATAAATCACAACGTGCTAAGGTTATTTATACCATTTCGTCATCATTTTATCAGTCGTTTATATATCCTCTCCCATAAAGAAGGCTTTTGCTAGTGGCAGTTACTTTGCTTGGCAGGCGGGTTAACAACCGCAGTTAGCTTTTGGTGATGTTTATAGAGGAACACTGCTGTTTCCTTGACTATTAAGATTACCTAGTGGCCTTTTGCGACACCCACTGGAAAGTAAGGGGTGATCCATTCTATATTGGCATCACACGGCAATTTATTTATATATATATATATAATATAATTTACGATTTGATACATAATAAATTATACAGTGGGAATAACTTGAAAATGTTCTTGTCGAAAATAATCTTTTTCTCAAATTATGGCATATATACATATATTATAATTATGTATTTATATTTATAATACCTACATAAGTGAAACTTACTAAAAAAAAATACTATGGTTTTTAATATTTTCGAACTTTTTTTTTCTTTTAAATTACCTCTATATTATAATAAACAAAACAAACCGTACATTTGTTAATTGTGAACCAATTTTGAAAACTTTTTTTTATTTAACGGTCCAACTTCCGTTCTTAGCTATTTTGAATATTTTTTTTTTTTAATGGACGATAATGGAATGGTCACCCCGCCTTCGCTAACGGTATACGCTGGTGAGATCCTAGTGAGAGGTGATAGGTGAAAATGAAAAAGCAAGTCAGTTAGTCCATCGTGATGAATAAATACATTTGGAATTCACCACAATGTTATTTTGAGTATATTTTTTTTTCAATGGGTGAAAATGGTACGGTAACCCCGCCTGCGCTAACGGGATACGCTGGCGGAGCACCAGTGAAGGGTGATAGATGAGAATGAAAACAGGCCAGTTAGCCTATCATGATGAATTCATCAGGAATTAAACATGATAGTTTCCAGGGAGAACCACGAGGAGGTCGACCTGGTTGGGTATATTGCTAGCAATGGGATTCTCAGTCTCTATTACTAACAATCCCTTTCCCCCCTTTTTGAGTATATTAGGTACTAGCGATATCGCCTCGACTGCGTTTATACTCATATGTAGCTTTTAATGTAACTTTCTATAGGCGAAAGAATTTTCAAAATCGGTTAAGTATTTTGTGAGTTTACTCGATTCAAACAAAAAAAAAATTTTTTTCTCTTTATAATATTTTTTAAAATTGGCATATAAGAAATTAATAAAAACATTTTGTTTGGCAATACGGAAGAGATGAGAGCTCGGAGACGCCAGCACAAATCCTAGTGCGAGATCTAAAGTCTCTCTCAGCTAAATCTATGTACGTAACTTGATAAATTATATAAACAGACATTTCTTTTTTATACATCATCGTCATCATCATTTTAACTCATCTATAGTCCACTATTAAATATAAGGTCTCCTTCATATTTTTCCACAAAGTATGATCCTGGATCTTGCGTCCAGCAACTACCTGTAACACTTTTGAGGTCGTCACAATATCTCATAGGGGCTCATATCTATTATCATAGAAAACTGCCAAATAAATCTGTCGATAGAATCGTTACCGCTACCTAATCCATAAGAAAGAATGAGATAACGTTTCAGTGTTTTATTCTTTCTTATGCGAACGATATTTAAAAAGCACCTATCGGTAATTTTGTATGCCACTTATTTTTTAGGGCTTTAATGGACTGAAAATGAAATGGTAACCCCATCTATACCAGATAGATATTTACATTATTTTTCTACTATTTTTATACCATTTAGAGATGATAGGTGAGGGTGAAAGCAAATGATTACTTACTCATTATGATGAATTCAACAAGAATCAACCACGATGGTTTTCAGGGGGAACAGCGCAGTTAGAGGTCGTCCTGATAGGATATATTGTCATCAATGGGGCCGCTTCTCCTTGTTTTTAACAATGCCTTCCCCTTCTCTTTGAACCGTTCTTCGTAATCGGTTATCGATTACTCGAAGTGTATGACAATTCAGCTTACATATCTATAGACATTACAGTTACTTTTAGTTCTTCTGACATAACAAGATTTCGAATTCTATCACTCTGTGAATCTCTGAGCCGTAGTTGTAAGCTTAGCTCATTGCATTGAGTGACTTGCCACATCATACTTCTAACAGTGTGTGACCATATATCACTGCCATAAATCACCACTGCCACCACTTTTTTATAGAATACCAATTTTGCATTATTAGTGATACAGAAATAGAATAGAAGTTGAACCAACCTGAAACCCAAAGATAGTATTTATGAAACTAATTTTTTTTTTCATGTTTTTAAAAATATGTGAGATAGCTAATATGGTTTATTAATAAAACATTGAAGTAAATACTGTAGATTGTAAAAAGAATTATCGAAATCGGTTCAAAATTTGTAAAAGTCGCATAACATATACATAGAAAATTATATCCTATCATTGGGTTTAGTCTATATACTTTTTCGATATACTGTAGAGAAATTATAGCTTTTAAAAATATATTGCACGCGTAGTCACAATATGTAAATTAATATGTTTGCTCTAACATCATTTATTTTATATTCATCATTGCTAAAACATTGAATAAAACTAAATAAATAAATACACTAATAAATTATATATAAAAAAATAATACATAAATGAAATATATCTAATTAGATATATTTTTTATACAAGGAAAGTTGCACTATAATTAATTATAATAATAGAGTTCATAGTTCCATTACGTTTTATTGTGTCTGATATAAAGTCACAGATGAAAGTTAATTAGAGAGTAGCAAGCAGCAGCTGTTTAAATTAAAGCCAGCTGTTAACAATTTACTGAATCAAACTTTCTATTGCAGGCTCAAAAATAAAATAAAATTGGAATCGGACGAGAATTGCTGCCCAAAGAAGGAAACTGGTGAGTTGATTTTATTAAATTCCACGGTAATATTATTTCTATAGTCGATTGTTTTTGTGTAATTCTTCATTTTAACGTTGAATGATTAATAAGACCTATTTTATTAGACGAGCATTATAAACGAGGAGTTTTGAAAAAGATTTAGATATCTTGAAATACATTCTGGTTTACGGTAATGTATGGTTTTATTATTATTATTTTTTTATACAACTTAGAATGGCAAACAAGCTGACGGTCCACCTGATGGAAAGTGATAATCGTCGCCTGTAGACATGAGCAGTACCATGGACATAAGAGAGTATACTGTTTTGCCCATGAGACTCTCCACGTTGGAATCAGGTGTTAACCATCACTTTTGAAACACAATGCAAACACAGCTGCTTTTGAAATACAAATGTACCCAAGCAATCAACTTTTGTACAAGGTCTCCCTCTGGTACAATAGATACAATAGCAAATAAACTAATGGAGTATTTTATGACAGGAATGAACCATCACTTTTGGAAATGAGCAGTGCCTTAATATCTTAGAATATTTTACTACTCCATGATTTACCATTACTGAGGACCTAATTTTTAATTGTTAATCCTCTGTACCCATAAAGGTTATTTGATATTAACTACCTTGAGTTAAACTGCATTAATAGATGCATAACTATTAGAAAGACGTTAAGAATTTGGTCATTATTTATATGATTTCTTGATTTATTAACAAACAGCACACAGATGTAGGGAATAATATTAATATTATCATTATATACAACTATATCATATCATCAAATATAAATTCTATCATACTTATTTTTTTTTCAAAATATTAATTATTAAAATATGGTGTTTCAATATATTTAGCATTAATAAATACCTATGCGGATTCTTAATCAACATGTTTTTGTGTAAAATTTTAATTTTTGTAATTAGTAAATACAAAAAATCATTATTTATACCAGCTTTACTCACATATCTTTGGAAATTGTCGATTAGTTTCGGATTCGACAAGATCCATGTTATTCATAGACACGTTTCTTTGAAATAAATACCTATGTAAGTAAAGCCGATATAAATACGATTTATACTATTAATTTTTTTATACAGATTCATGATTATTTATCAACTTAAAAATATGGCATTCGGTTATAAAATTTTAAGGATAGTATATTTCTCTAAACAATGTAATAATAGTTAAATAATAAGGTAATATTAACTACATTTAATAGAATCACTCGTAGAACAACAAAAGTTTAAACTCAATAAATACTAAATAGAAATATTATTATTAATTTTTAACTTATGAAAAACCATTTTCCTTTATAATATATTCAGGATCAGTTTGTAATCCTTACTTAGAAGAGGATCTCAATAACTTCTCTTAAAGTTTATTCAGTTCTTAGTTAGAATTAAAACAACAGGTATAGTTAACTTAAACATAATTAATTAAATTCTCCGAAACTAAATCTCAAAATTACTTAGATCGTGTACGGTGCCTATTACAAACAAAACACAAAACATCTAGACTACGCTAATTTAAAATTTCGTTATCAAAGTTGGCTCAAAGAAAAATCTACTTAGCCAATACCTAATTAATGCCTCGCCCGGCTTCATTAAATATGGACTACCCAGTTACAAAAACTGGTGCCTCAGAACGATAAGAAAAAGCTGATTTATCTGGATTTATATAGGTACTATTTATTTAATCATCAAAAGTAAAAACATCTTAATTTATACAATTTGCCGCTAGATATGAAGTCTAAGTACCTAATTGTACATTTTGTTTGGTTGTGCAAGCACACCTATATCCATCTAGTAGTCGCTTATACCAATTGAATGTTGGTGATATGTAAGGTAACTAGATCGAAAAATGTTTTTATTAGGACATAATAAATAGGATAAAAGAACCTTTGTGTATTTTGTTGGTTACCCAATATAATAGAAATAAAATTCTAATATAATTTTTATGCAACTTAGAATAGCAAACAAACTGATGGCCCACCTGATTGAAAGTGGTAACTGTTGCCTATACACATGAACAGAACAGAGTATACTGTTTCGCCCTTGATACCTCCCATGCATTGTCATTCCTAAGGACTAAGGTGTTAATCCTCTATACCCTGTAAATTCACTACCTAATCCCACTCTTTAAACCGAAACACGACCATGCAAATACGACTGCTTCACAGTAGAAACACGAGTGGGACAGAAGTATCCAAGCAAACGACTTTTGTATACAGTCTCCATCTTTTTAGTTTAGTTGTTGCTTTAGTATGTTCTTGTATCTATATCTAGAATTTGTTTCAAGTATATAATTAAAATAATCTAATCCATTGTTAATATGAAATGCCAGTAGAGTTTTTGAGATTGGCAACCTTTTAAAATATAAATTTATTTCATGTTTATATGTTCACAGAGTACGTGGTACCAGTGCCGCCGCGGGTAACCGTCGAGAAGCCCTTCATATTATCCGATGGAAGGTGAGTTTCCATTTTACTGCCAATTACTTTTAACAATAAAATAGACCTCTATTCTCTCGCGGGCCCTTCATTGTGCCTCAACAATTCATTAAATCGGAACTCTTATGCGCGAATCGTATTACCTTTAACATTTTGCAACAGATTATTGTAATTTAAATTGTACATACTAGCTGATACCCGCGACTTTGTCCGCGTAGTATTTTTTACTCCTGTTTATTATGTATTGATGTATATATGTATAAACCTATCTATTACGTAGGACACTCAGAAAGTTTTGCGACCCTAAAAAAATGTTCTATAGGTATTTTTATTACATCCTTTCAAAGTACTCTCCACCAGCCTCTATACAATGTTTCACGCGTCTGAACCAGTTTTCGAAACACTTTTTCCAGTCCACCGCAAACACCTCATTTATAGCCTTCGAGCAGGCTGTAAACGAGGTGTCTGATGAGAGCGCATCATCCGGCGATGAAAATTGTATCCCTTTGAGCTGATTTTTTATTTTTGGGAATAAGAAGAAGTCACACGATACTAGATCAGGGCTGTAAGGAGGGTGACCCAGGAGTTTGACCGGTGTGCTGTATAGGAAGTCCCTCGTTTTGATTGCGGTGTGGGCGGGCGCATTATCGTGGTGGAGCAGTAGCCCGCGGAGCCCTGTGTTTGGTCGCTTGTTTCTTTTACCCGCAACCTTGCTCGAGTGTATTGTCTGAAAAATACTTTTTTTTTTATAGCGATTAGTTGAGCTGTTAAGATGTTAAGAAGTTAAACATAAATAAACAAAATCATTTTCACGTTTAAAGTATTAATAAGGATTTACATTCATTGTTATTTTAGTTCCAACTATTCACAGTCGCTCACAGTCCGCTGCTGAACGTAGGTTTTCCCTATAGATTGCTATCATTACCCGCATCCATTGATCCCCATATCACAGTTGAGGTCATTGCTCTATCTGTAGTTTATTTCAATAGAACTCAATGAAAAGATAATCAGGCTTTGTTGAAATTATCACTGAAACATACTCTAAATGAAATTAGTAATAAATGGAAACATTCATTTAAGTAATCAATATTTTTTTTTTTCAAATTATATCTACTATTGGGATACAATTCACAAATCGATTTCGAATCGATTTTTGTATTGTAATTAATTATTCGTGTGTTTACATTTCCATTAGAAGCTACGAAAACTAATTATAGCTGGATATCGCCCTACGCTATGCTTTTGTCTATACGGAGTGAACACATGAGAACTTTTCCTCCCCATCAGTTATTGCAATTTTGTCTATGTGACCGACTAATTGCCAATTGCTTGCCAATCGTTCGGACCAAATTAGTCACTTTGATTCTTCTACAGAACTCCTCATAAAATATTCTATCACGCAATGTAGCTTCGATCCCGTTAGCAAAGTGTAATTGGCTTCGAACATTTCGGGAAACGGCATTCCCTAGGGCGGAAAGAAAAACATATATATATATTTGGTACTTCTTCATATGTATTCTCTATATCTAATACTAATTAAAATATGTTAACTTGCATTTTTTTTATGTGTATCCTAATATATACTTGTTTTTATTTTTTCTTTTTTTTTTTCTTTTGTCTCATAAAATTATATGATGCCAGTAGCATATTATCTTAAAATTTGTTTTTCCTCTATAGAAATAACTATATTTACTAACTCGACCTTTGTAGACGAAATTGAATCAATATACGCACTTTCCACCATTACAGTCAACTTCCTCCCGCACACCACAAGGGATCATATCAAAGGAGCACTGTGTATAACATTTATTCGTGATTTCCTTTAACAATAACAATATTTCCAACAGAGTGGAGCTTGAAGCGTGGTTGGATAAAGCGACGTATTATCACGGAGAATCGGTAAAATGCAGTGTTGTTATCGCCAACCATTCGTCCAAAACTGTACGAGGTATAAAGGTTTGTATTTATAAATTGAAAGGTATAGTTTTTGAAACTATAATTCTTGATGTTATAGTAAATTATATTTTTTTATCTATAACTGGATTGCTCGTTAGGATTCAGCTAGAGAAAAGTAAATCATAGCTTTATAAGCCAGTTGCAGAAGGAACTCTAAATCCGTCTGTATTTTTTTTTTACTTTATCAATTCAGTGCCGATTCTGATAATTATTTTTGCGACCGATGGGATTTATTATTTGTAACCTGATACTAGGTATCACGCCCGTCGCCAACACAACGTGTGAAGAATATTATATATTCTTAAATTACTATTAGATATGTATATATTTATAGGCTTATGATTATAATAAAACTTGTTGCCTGAAATAAATATATAAAAATTTTACATAAAAATTTTACGTCGAACGCATCCGTTTTTCTTTGCGAAAAATCTTGCTAAATCAGCACAATTTTTTGGACACACGATCCCGTGTTCTAAATTCAAATGTTTCAATTTAATATGTCTATCAAACGTCTTATTATCCATTGTCGTATTTTGTCAGGATTAAAATTGCTTGTTTTTCTTTTTGCGGAGTAAAATATAGTATATATACATATATTCATTATTAAGATTAAATATAACAACGCATCTCATTTGTTATTCACTTTACTACAACAAACCAGCACCAAATAACACTAGCCAATTGTGTATACAACACCTAAATAAAACAGAGTCGTACGAAGTTTTAGCTTCAGACATAAGAATTGATAGACTAGGTAGAAACGACACTTATGCACCTTCCTTTGTGAATGCGCTCAGGGACGCCGGCTTCTGAAAAACAGATTATTCTTTCTGTTCTTACTTTTAGCTTGTCTTACCCTCTCCTCTTATCTCATTCTCTATTTTGCTACCTATACATACTTTACTAGTACTAAAACTGCTCAAAAAACTACTAAAGTTTTTCAAAGTTTTGTCCAAAAATTTCTCCAAGGATTCCATTTCTTAAAAATTTGGCAAACAGAAAAATGTACAAAAAAATATCCAATCTGGCAACGCTGCCAAAAAGAGAATATTATGCTTCCAATAATTGGCCGCGCTATGCCGTTTCACTAAGGGTTTTTTCATGCAACGTTTGATGGATCTCGGGAAACACGTCACGGAAAAGGTCATTCCACAATGTCACGATAAAGTTCAAATAAGAGTTTACAAACTTAATTGTACACAATATACGTAGATATTATTAAATCTACGGATGTGTCGATTCTACCTGGATATTTATTCTTATTCTTCAGTTCCCTGCTACTGCACTTTTATGGTTCGCTCAACATAGCTCGTAACACAGAGGTCAGTGCAACAACGTTCAAGACTTATTTATTGTGTCGTAAAGTCGTACCTATCTTGTCCGGTTGTTGCTCCAAGGTTCTCTTTATTGTTTATATTTTCCACAATAACAAGTATATAGTATTAAATTGGAACTTAGAGTAGAGGTCATGTTATCACAAAAGCTTTTATGTTATCTATTATAATGTGCATTGTCGGTATCACAAGTACAAAGTAGTGACATCGATACTGATAACACTTCGACAATTGACGAGATGTTTCGTAAACATAATAAATTGAAAATATTTTAGTACATTAATAAATAAACAGCTAAATTACAACATACAATTAGAAAAGGAAAAAAAAAAAACATTATCTATAAAGTATAATGAATAAGTATACTCAAAACTATAATCTGTGAAGAAAATCCATATATTCTTGACTATTACCGTTTTCTTGAACATAACCTCGACAAACGCACTTTTCGTGGAGCATATATCTATAACTTAGGAGTAATTAATGAATTTGTTTTCAGACACTGGTGATACAACACGTGGACGTGTGTATGTTCTCCAATGGAAAGTTCAAGAATGTTGTAGCGTCTGTAAAGTGTATAGGTACCCGCGTCAGACCTGGACAACGACTCACAGAGACTTTCAATTTGTTGCCTGACAGAGGTAAATCGAAACCTTAAGAATATACTGAAGCTGATAGAGAGAGAGAGAGAGAGAGAGAGAGAGAGAGAGAGTGAATGAGAATAAAAATAATAATCTTTATTATTACAGGCTACAATGACCTAATTTGTTAGTAACATAATATTTGCTTAGTGTTAGTACATTTTAAAATAAAATAAATAAATAAAAGAAAAAGAAATAATAAACAAATTTAGTCACCGCTAAAGTATCCCATTTGAGATACCACAACAGTGACAGTAAGGGCAGTTTAACCTGCTTGCAATCATAATAAATAATCAATAATGAATCTTCTACACGAATACAACCATTATACTTATTTCTAGGAAGTAGCAATGAAAGTGTTATTTCTGTTGTTAAATAATAATATGGCAGTATCTTTATTGTGTCAAAGATTGTACATCTTTGACACAATAGAGATAATAGCAAATATTTCACAAGTGATAACAAATGAACGGAAACCATACGCTTTGTGATATTTGTGGATGTTGTTCATGTCTATTAATATTTTATTATTGTACTGTACTTATTATTTCACTGCTACTATTTTTCATTCAATGGGTCATCTAATTATTAAGTGACGAGAAGATGATTAATAAAAGTATATCCCCATAAATTGCCGTGTGGTCGCGGTAATGAATGGGCCATCCCTTATTTCCTGTGTGTCGCAAAAGGCGACTAGGGATCTTAATGATCGAGAAATGATCAGCGTCCCTCTTAAAACATCACCAACCTAACTGTAGTTGCCAACCCCCCTGTCAAGAGTGGCAACTACTGGCAAAACGCACCTTAAGGGGGAGGTTTGTGTTCAGTAGTGGTTAACGGTTGATATGATGAGCCATATAAATAAAATCAAAAATTGTTCTCAGGCGTCACCAAAAACTGGATAGCTTTAGAGGACTCATATTCAAAAACCGGCGCAAGTCTTGCATCGACAGTCGTTTGCAGTAACTCTCCCGAAGACCGCAACGTATTTGCCATTTACGTATCCTATTACGTTAAAGTCAAATGCATACTCAGTAAAATGGGAGGTGATTTATCTGTCAAACTTCCGTTTATTCTCACACACTCTTGTCATAGCGAGGCACCAGTTGAAACCGTCACAGAAGATACATCCCCCAAAGTAATTTTAGAAGGCAAAGAAAACAGCGATGACGATTCATCGTGTAATTTAACGGTCACAGAAAATCGAAATAAAGATAGTGTCGTTTGTTGTCAACCTGGCAAAAGTCAAGAAGACAAATGTGAAGAAAAAATTGACAATGAAGATACTGAAGTGAAATCTCCCGAAGATCATCGCTGTATTGCTGATGTACTAGTCAATATAGAGAATAAAATAGAAAGACCCAAGGTATTTGAAGGGACTGAGGTGCGTCTGGCTAAGCCTGATGAAGAATTGGACCTTATCGTGAAATACCACGGTTCAGATACGTGATCCGATGAAGAATTAAATATAGATAAAGGTGATAAAAAGACTGAAGAACCAGAAAAGCCAGTGATTATTGCCGATTGCAAGAAAGAGGTCCAAATTAATAAAAGTGGTTTTGCGGAGAATTTGAAGCGGGCTGTTTGTTGTATAGACAGAAGAAGGCACTCATAGCCGATGGAGAGTGTATTGAACTATATCGACACATCACATAACTACTTTAATGTGTTTTTATGTGTCACAGTTATAACCACAGTTAACATGGTACATATGTGTGTTCAAGCAACTGAGTGGAAGTTTAAAAGACATATTATTATAATTAGTTTTAATCAGTAAAATTTAGATCTTTTGACAATTGTATTCATAGAAGGTGAAATCGAAATGATTAGCTTTCAACTATTGAAACTGAACATCTCATGAAACTAAATGAGACGTGGACGGAAAGAATAAAAAGTTTAAGTCCCATATACTAACTTAACAATGCATCTAGTTAGCGTTGGTATGGGTGGCTCAAATTTTTTGTCATTTTTTTAAACCATATTGTTTTAAGAAAAAGGTTCGGGTTTAAACGTTTCCTTAAAAGAATATTCAAGATACTGATTTTATCTTTTCTTTTATCAATATATATATTATATTAATAATATTTGTTTATTACTATTATTATAGATATATTATTATAACAGTGAATGCTATAACAGAAATTTTTCTTGCATAAAATTATACTTTTTAAATGATTATATAAAAATGTAGATATGTACTAACGGCGTCAATCTAAATTGGTCTGAAATGAACGAATTGCTAATCTAGTCATTTAGAATGTGTTACTCTAATTAGGTATCTAACCTATAATGTTAGTAAATATTCTAATGTTTACAAAATAAGACCACTCATGCCTGCTTTTAGTTTTCATATTTGAATGTATGTTATATTTGAATATTTCTAAATAATTAATAAGTAAATAGAACATTTTAAATTTGTAATTTTATTGAATTTGAAAATATTATATTAAACAATTAACAGTAAGTGTATAATATCCACAAATATATTTATTTAATTTGACAACAATAAAAAAAAATATTAAATTAGGCATCTCAAATATTCACAATACGAGACAAAAATATAATATATCCAATTTAGATGCACTTTTGTAATTAAATTAAATTTACTGTAAATGTATAATTTTTCAAAAAATTTACATTACTTATTGGAAACAAAAGCATGATTTTGGTCAATTAGATATAAGGTCTTTGTCAGAAGACTTGGCCAGTGCCGAAAATGAAGCCTGAATGGATATTACGCTTATTAAATTGTAGTCTGTGTTAGTATTAAATTGTGTAGAAACATGTTCCTTTCATTTCTGTATCATATTTTTAAAATTAAATTAATTGTTATGTGGAATAATAGTTGTTTATTTTGTTTTCTTCAAATCCTTTTTTTTTACAATTTACTTAATAAATCTACTATAATAACAAAGTAAAGATCACAAATGATAATAACATACTATAAATGCAACGCCAAAAACATTCTAATGAAGATTTTAAAAATATATTTATTAAGACACAAGACTATTTCCATCATACCAATATGAATAAGCTATATGGTCCCGGTACTGAATGGGCCATCCCTTCCTTTTCCGTGTCGTAAGAGGCGACTAAGGGAGCTTAACGGTTGATGGATTGGCAGCAACGTTTCTCTAAATCATCATCAATGCTTATCTGCATTTGCCAACCTACCTGCCAAGCGTAGCAACTACTAGCAGAGGACTATGTTCAGTAGTAGATATTTAACGGCTGATGTAACGTGATAAATATGAATATGGAGACAATACAATTGAACGAGAGAGAGAGAGAAAGAGAGAGAGATCCTAGACGATTACTCTCTCTTATTCAATTTATTATTTTATTTATTTCTTCTCTCTTCTTTGTCCAAATGGGTTCATAATTGGCCCTATGTTATGAATCGATCTTATTTGCCTTTTTTAGACATACATTCCTCATTTTGGAATTTTTTTTTAATCACAATTAGTGAAAATATATAAAAAAAAAATACAATTGAATTTAGGATCAGCTTTGTTGATATAACAACCAAACAGCTATATGTGATCACGGTTGTATAAATTAATTATATAATGGAAACGCATGAAGGATATCATGGGCGAAACAGTATACTCTGTTATGTCCAAGGTACTGCTCATGTCTATACGCGACGGTTATCATTTTCCATCATGTGGATCGTTTATTTACCATTCTAAGTTGCACAAAAAAATTCTATACAGCAAAGTTATTACAATAGCTTCACATAATTTACCTCGAAATGACCTTACCATCCCTGGAATACCTTGAAAGACTTAATATTAAGTATGCAGTAAGTGCTACGTACAAACTTTCAAAACTTACTAATACAGACTTAGTTCACTATAGTTTAATGCCGCATGATCAGGTAACTATCATTATATGATGCCTAGCCTTAACCTGCGACTTCGTCCGCCTGACCGCGACGTAATTGTATTGATTGACCGGTATAAAAGGTATCCTATGTCCTTTTCTATTCCAAATAGTACGTTACCAAATCACGTTAAAATTGGTTAAGCCATTAAAGCGGAAAATAGTAAGTAACAAACAAATAAACACTTTTTTAAATTAAAAAATATATATATCATATTAAAAATATTCATAAATATTGCTGCATATATGACATTAGACATTTCCACCTGCGAAGAGACTGTTATTTGTATTATACGAGTATAGGTGAGAGTTTCGAGATTTCTTTCTTTCCTTCCTTCTTTTCATCTTTCCTCTTTCTTCTTTTCCTCCTTTCCTACTTTTCGTCCTTCCGTCTTATTACCTTTTTTTTAAAGATTCCTCTAATATGCAATTTATTGTAACTCATTAAATTGGTAAAAAATTCGTAAAAACAATTAAATTAATTTAGAAATAAATTAATGAAATAAAAATTTGATAGCCTTTATTTATAAACTAAATTCAATTCAATAAAAATGTTTTGATTAAAAAGTAATTAATTATGAAATATAAAAATAAATTAACTTATCAATCAAATTAATAAAAATAAACTTAATATTATTTTTTATATAAAAGTTTTTGTCATCCATATGAAAATTTTAAAAACAACGACCTCCTCGCTTCTAATTGCTGAGCCCGGCAGGGTCTACAATATACTTTATTTATTATTAAGATCTTTAATAATAATATTGTAGAATGCAATAAATAAATTGAAATTGAAATAAATACTGTTTCTATCATACAAATCATTCATTTTTCCTGTCAAACGGACACAGTAATATAGTTTGTTTCCAATAAAAACAAACGAAATTACACTTCAACAAGGGATTTTTTAAATGGATGACAATAAAATTATGATCTCGCTTATTCTATTGGTATACGTCGCGGAGAAGCAGTGAGGAATAATAGATGAGGATGACAGTAGGTCAGTTAGCCCATCATGATGATTACACCAGAAACCTTACAATTTATATATTTTATATATTTGTACTTAATTATAATCAATCTTTCGTGTTACCTTTTGTTACTCGACATCATTTTATTGCAAGAGAAAATTAAGGGACAAAACGGCGACGTTGACTTCGAAAAGATAAGTGGTCATAATGGACTCACACCGATATTTATATACAGTAATAAAGAGGGAAAACATGCTCCGAAACGTTATAGGATCTGAAGGGTTAAAAGAGTTGAACCAAAATCGTATAGAGATTAAAAAATAAAAAATTAAATTAAATTCCTTTTCATTTTAAATTTTATTTTATTTCATTGTGAAATTATAATTTGAAATCTGTTATACGTAATACTTGCTATTTGATTTCATACTAGAAATCCAGTCCGGTCTGGAGGATCGTTCTACACTGCCTTTGCCTGTACAGGGTCGCCACTCAAGAGCTTTTCTTCCTCATTAGTTGTTGGTTCTTCGAACTGTGTGACCAACCCATTGCCCCTTCAGCTTAAATCCAATAGCAACAAATTAAAAACCGATTAACTAATCGAAAATTTTGATTTCCCACTAATTTTATTCAGAGAAGTGTTTATGCAATAATTTCAATAAAAATTTGTTATCTTTTACTAAGTTTTAATGAAACGAACTACAAGATGTATTGGTGATTAAACTTCCCAGTAGTCTTTGATCTCTTGGTATCACGAGGTTAGACCACACATTGCGAGTGGCAGGCCATTTCGCTTTACCAAGAATGTCATTAGCAAAGCTGCCATAGCCAGCTGTCACGTATCTGTAACATGAATCCATTAGTTGAACTTCGAGAACAGAGGAGGGGCATAGAACTTTCGCATGAGGGTAAATATTAGTAACTGACAAGTACGAGTACCTTCCTGTCTACCTGAAAATTAATATCTTGGTTGTATTAATGTAAAGAAACATTAAAACAAGCGAGCGAATTTTAAGCTTTTTTTTTTCTTTATTTTCACCAATTATGAATGTACATACTAGTCTCGGAAATCGAAAAGAAAATAGAAGAAAACAGAAACTTATAATTTTTCTTAAATTATTTTTGAATATTTCTATATTTTTTTATGCAACTTAGAATGGCAAACAAGCTGACGGCCCACCTGATGGAAAGTGGTAACCGTCGGATATAGGCATGAGCAGTACTATGGACATAAATGAGTATACTGTTTCGCCCATTATACCCCCTATGCGTTACCATTTCTGAGGAATCAAGTTTATTCCTCTGTACCCTGTAAATTCACTGCCATATCCCACTCTTCAAACCGAATCTAAATTAAAAAAAAAATGTGACTTAATCTGTTTCATTGCATCAAAACCTCATCAAAGTAGGTAAAAGTCATATATATATATAAGAATATAAATAATGCAATTAATTCAAATAGATGCGCATTGGTATCGATTATGAATTACTATTCCCTAAATCTGTCTTTAAAAATGAAATTTAATTAAGAGATTAATAAAAGTTTTTTTTTTAATGGATGATAATGGAATTGCAACCCCGCCCGCGCTAACGGCATACACTGGCGGGACACCAGTGAGGAATGACAGATGAGAATGAAAAGGCATGAATAGTTAGCCCATCGTGATGAATAAATCATTAATTAACTTAACTGTTCAGCATAACAGTTTCCAGGGGCACCGCGTGGAGGTCGACCTGATAGGATATATTGCTAGCAACGAGACTTGTAATCCGCATTACTAACAATACCTTCCTCACCCCTAATAAAAATATTAGATATGTTATAGATAACTCTGAAATTAATTCAATGTAGATATAAAAACTATAGTAGTTCATAGAATAAAGATTTCGCTGTTAGATCAAATATTTCTTTTGTTTTATACATAGACAATAGAGCTTATCTAAGAATGAGCTCCTTTGTTTGATAATACGTAGGTACATTTACCATAAATGTATTACTTTACACTCGTACCTACTTACGAATGCTAGGCACCATTTTTTCCTTTGTTTTCCATTTAATTTCGTAGAGTGTGTGACATGAAAAGTTTGTGTAAATCGCTGTGTAACACAGCAAATTCAAATGAAGGAATTCAGTGAAAGATTAGCGTAGCTGCTCTCAGCTTCCAAAGTTAAAATAGGTTTGCGAAAGACGCTCGAGTTTATCAGCAACTCCTTGGGAGGTACGTCAGCTATATACTTAGTTATAACTGATTGTTATCCGCGGCTTTGCTCGCATAAATAAAAAATAATAATAATATATTAATAAATGGTAAATAGCAGTAAAGGGCCGGATTATTGAGTTCTCTAAAATTTGGTTGAAAGCAATGATGGCTGACAGCCGTCATACTCGTGAAGAGGCGCTGCTAATTAGGACTTGTCTGCTCTGGATACCGCAACGAATTTATTTCATTAATTTATTCTAATTATATATTAAAACCTTAAATTTAATGATCTAATACTGCTTGATAGTTTATATTCACATAAATTCATAATTTATAGCAACCTTTTGGCAGGCAAAGGCCTCTTAGTGGAAAAGTGAAATAATGTAAGTAGGCTGCACTTGTTCATAATCTTGATAATCGATCCCTTTATTAGTTACAATAAAAATGCGACAACATTTTGCTTGCAAAATAAACAAAAATGGATAATAAAAAAAGTAATAATAACAGAGAGATTCAAAGAAGACAATTATATTTATTTAATAAGTATTAAAAAAGATTCATTATTTAAGAAGTTTTAATCAATAAAATAAAAAAGAAAATTTTGTAAATGAAAATCCTTTAAACCTAAAATTTAGATTTATAAATTTTTCATTTACAAAACAGCCCACAGGCTGCAAGGATGACGACCGCAGGCCGCTGGTTGACGACCGCTGATTTATATAATTCAATTTTTTAAAAAAGCAACTTTTCTTTTTAGCTGAAATTGTGTTCTGAACTGAA